CAGATCTCTTAAAAGGGGGCCATTTCAAAACATGAACCCATATTTATACCCTTCACCACACTGTGGTACAGGATATTATGTCTATGTGTTTATGTTTGTAACAGGCAAAAATAATCGAGATAGACCCATGGTTCCTTTTGAGAAAATGCATAGAATCACTTTCTGAGTCGATTTATGCATGTCCGTCCGTCCATATATTTTTGTTAAAAAGGTACAGGTCGCATTTATGATCCGATTTGGATGAAATTTAGCACAGGTTACTTATTTGGCCCAAGGACGAACCCTATTGGAGAAAAACGGTTCACGTTTAGGCATAGCTCCCATATAAGGGTACCCCCAATTTTCGGTATTTTGAGGTTATTTAGCGCGTTTAACTGAATTCGCTGAATTTTGGTACTTTGAGTTCTTATTGGGTAGCAAATCTCCCTACTAAAAATTATAAATATAGGTCCATTTTTTCGGATAGTCCCCATATAAGAGTATACCAAATTTTCGGTATTTTGGGGTTCTTGAGCTCATTTTATAACTGAATTCTGTGAAATTTTGTATATTGGGTTCTTATTAGGTACCAAATTACTCCACTAAAAATTATAAATATAGGTCCAGTTTTTCTGGTAGTCCCCATATAACGTTACTCCCAAAAATGTTGGTATTTTGGGGGTTCTGATCGTATTTTTCGACCGAATTGAATGTAATTTAGTACGTCGAGTTCTTATTAGGTAGCAAATCTCTCTACTATAAATTATAATTTTCGGTATTTTGGGGTTCTTGAGGCCGTTTTTCAACCAAATTCTTTGTAATTTGGTTTTTTGTAGTCGTATATGGTAACAAACCTCCCTCCCAAAAATTATTAATATTCGCCCCACACACACAGGTCACTTAATAGGCCCAAGGACGAACCCTATTGAAATTGGAGAAAATCGGTACAGACTTAGATATAGCTCCCATATATTCCCATATATAATAATAAATAAATATATATTTTCGTCCGATTTTATTCTTATTGATGCACCAAACTCCCAATAGTGATCCGATTAAGACAAAATTTTGGACAGAGTATTGAATTAGGTCTAGATAGTTGTTAGATATAGCCCCGATTTATAGTTTCGTCCGATTTCATGTAAATAGTGCACCAAACTCCCAATAGTGGTCCGACTAAAGCAAAATTTTGCACAGAGTACTGAATTAGGTACCGACTGATGTATGTGAAATTTTGTCGGAATCGGTTAGGATTTAGATATAGCTGCTATATATAGTTTCGTCCCATTTTATGTAAATGAAGCTCCATACTGCCAATATTTATCCGATTGAGACAAAATTTTGCACAGAGTACTGAATTATGTGTGTATGCGAAATTTCTATATCTACTGGATATTGTAGATATTAACATGTCTTGCATGTACCCATAGTGGTGAAGGGTATTATATAGTCGGCCCCGTCCGACTTTTGAACTTACCTTACTGTCTTTTTGCTTTCATTGTTACCCAATCCATAGTCGGGTCCACATTACTTGCCTAATCTTTGGATAAGAAGCACACCTTTCTTGGTAGGAAGGTGTGGTTGTGATATAATGTGCACAGCGGGCCACTTTTGGTAAGCAGAACTGGCGCTATGGGATGAACCAAACGTAATTATTTGGAGCCAATGACTCTTCTGCAGAAAGACCAGCCTTATCAACCCGTTGTCAACACGTATGTGGTCTTTCCCAAAATATTTAACTTTATATTTAAGTACTGTTCTATTGGTGTCTTTCTTGTAAAATCATATTTCCGTATTGTCTTCGCTTTCTATTATAACGTTGTCTGTATAACATAAGGGTGCAAATCCCTCATAGGTTAAGATCCTTAAGATGCTGTTCATATTGGTGACCCACAGGTCCCTGATTGTCTTGTTATCAATTAACATTTGACTGACCCAGACTATGATTGTCAGGTCAACACGAAATCTTCTAAGGATTGGATAAGAGTTTCAGGCATTGTTAAAGGTTTCCTCTATATTAATGCATACAACTAAAGTATACATTTTCTTGTTGAAGTCGACAGTCGACCATTTCATGACATTGAGTAGAAATGAGGTTAAGGGACCCAACATTCTTGGTCTAAAAAAGCTTATTTTTAATTTAATATGTACCTTAATCTTCTAAACAATGTGAAAATCGCAACAAATCTTTAATATATAGCTGATATACATTTAAGCATCAAAGGACGGCAAGTATGCATCTCAAACTTTAAACGCCTTTTTCTCGAAAGTGTGTTTCTACAATTGGAGGGCACTATAATTCAAAAAAGCCTACATATCTACCGTATGAACTAGAATAATTCCAATCGGTTAAGATCTTACCTATTGTTCAGTTTGGTTTGTTGTCGAAAATAGACGATTTTTCAAAAAAAAAAAAAATTTCTATGTCCGCCATTTTGCTAATTTTCGAACGAAGTTAATCAGTGCATAATTAATATGCAGTCGATTGAGAATATATGTCTATTAGTCCCTTGGATGATTCTGTGGACAATTCGAGTCTCTCACTTTTCAAAAAATTATTTTTTCCCTATAACTTTATTTTGATTCAAAATTCGATTTTTTATATATATATGGGATCCATATCTAAGTCTGAACAGAATTTTCTCCAATTTTAATAGGGTTGTCTTTGGAGAAAATAAGTGGACTTAGGCATATTCTCAAAAGGAACCTGCCTGTTGCAAACATATGTACAAAGACAATCTGTTGGGGGGTATAATAAAATAGATATTCTGCTTCCTCCAGAATGATTTCTGATATGGTGAAAAAGGCAAAATTGTGATGCTTATTTACTGTGAGGAAACCCCGTACTGTATACTGTTCTAATTCCGTTGTGGGATTAAATAGTAATACGTATATTCCTTTCGAAAAATATTAAGTTCTGCAACCAAAAACTGCCAGAATGACATGTAAGTAAACAACAGTAAAGTGTTTGGAGTTTACTTTTTCATCGCCTTTAAATACGCTTTGATGGGCTAAAGTTGTTCACAGATTACCAGCGTATTTTTGCCCTTAAGATATTGTTATATCTATATAAATGAATTTCTGTTTGCTTGTTTGATCAGTGTTAGCAATAGACTCCTAAACTACTGAACGGATTTTCATGAAATTTTCACAGTCGATTTTTGAGTACATTACTTAATTTTTGCATATTGACCCTTTTTTAGATCAGAATTGACCATGTTGAAAATAGGCAATGGTAACCAGTAAGGAAAGTAGTAAAGTCGGGCTGGGCCGACTATATGATACCCTTCACCACTTTGGGTATATTCTACATATGTATCCGAAAATACTTCGCTGTACTGTTTAAAATTTAATCTCAATCAGACACCGATTGATAATTTGGTGTACAATCAACATAAATAAGTCGAAATTATATATGATAGCTAAGTTATATCTATATCTAAACCTATTTCAAGCAAACCTGCCAGAGATTAATTTATATTAACTTCAGTACGTTGTGTCAATCGGCCTAGCTATGGATCTTTAGTGCACAATTTACTTAAAACCATCACATCATTCTAGATTTATTTTAGTACGCTATGCCAAAATTCTTGCCAATCAAAAGATTTGCAGGGGCTTTGGTGCACCATTTACCTAAAATCGGGCGAAACTATATGTGGAAATTATATCTAAATCTGAACCGATTTTCACGAAACTTAGCACACATCATTCTAGACCTAATTCAGTGCGCTATACCAAATTTCGTACAAATCGAAAGATATATAGAGACTTTGGTACACAATTTACCTAAAATCGGGCGAAACTATATATGGAAACTATACCAAAATCTGAACGCATTTTCACGAAACTTAGCACACATCATTCTAGACCTCACATTGTACGAACTGAATAAAGCTTAAAATGAAGTGTGCTAAGTTTTGTGAAAATCGGTTCAGATTTAGATATAGCTCCCTTATATATTTTCGTCCGATTTAAGGTAAATGGTACACCAAAGTCCCTAAATATCTTTCGATATCCACCAAATTTGGCATAGCGTACTGAATTGAGTCTAGAATGAGGTGTGTTAAGTTTCGAGAATATCGGTTCAGATTTATATATAGGTCCCACATAAATATTTTCGTCCGATTTTAGGTAAATGCTGCACCAAACTCCTAATGTTTGTACTATTGACATGAAATTTTGCACAACGTACCATATATATTTCGAACTGATTGATTGAAACTATATTTTTAACAGTGCGGCATTCTGAGTAGCGTGTATCAAGTTTGCTATAAATCGATTTCCATTAATTTGTACGCAAACAATTCTAAATCCGCCCGATTATAATTAAATTTAGCATAGGTTGCAGAAATGTGTATGTTCCTTCGAGGGAACATTGACATGAAATTGTTAGGATACATACGTACAATATATATAATGTGATGAAGTGTATCATATAGTCGGTCCAGTCCGACTTTACTACTTTCCTTACCGATTCTATTTTGATTTTATGTTTTTTTTTTCGAAATGTTGTCTCGTTTCTTATTATATACAGTCGAGTACGGTTAGCATGGGTCCATTCAAAGCTCATCAATTGATTTTTCTACCTATCTGACAGTAAATCTGGCTGAAGAGTCAAACTAAATCGAAAAGTAACCTAATTTAACAACTAAAAGGTTTAATAGGGGCTGCGAACCGGTTTCATATCCAGGATTCGATCAGAAATTTAGTTTTATGTTAACAATCACTTACAGACAATATCTTCAGAGAGCTATAAATCGGTAGGTTAAAATGCAAATCTTTTCATATATTAAGCCTGTCCGATTTTGGCATATTCCTTATTGGTTATGGCAGCTGAGGTTCAGTCTTTTCCCTCTATTTAAACAATTTCGACCAATTTGTCGACATTTATTTGTTTTTGTTTTACTGTTCGTAAAAACCATACAAATGCATGCAGAGAATTAAGAGAATACTAAGATAACCTCTTGACCCAGACAATCTGTGAATTTGTACAGCAATTCCGATCAGTGTACACATACTAAATGTTTACAGTAAGTATCAGATCGTTGTTTACGAAAGAAGTTCTCCAGTTTTACTCTAAAAATAAATTCATTATTAATGAAAACATTTTTGATTATTTTCTTATTAATCTTTTTAATATATCCAAATGATGCCACCACCGATCAGACACCCCTTAGTACTGCAGATAACTCTGACAACAACAACAAATTCTATGTAATTTGAAATCAGAATGGCAAAAAATATGTGTTAATTAATAATATATTTAATTATTCCTTTTTAGAATCCCGATGAAGATCCGGACCGTATAGTTTTGTGGAAACATTTGTTTATTAAAGTGAACAGTGTATTGGCGGAAACGAATAAAGTAAATACTTATCTAGCTGTTCTGGACAAGAAGTGAGTATTTAAAAATTAAATACTAAGATGTGTTGCAATAGTATTTAAATCATTTTATTGGTTTTTGTTTCTATTTTTCTAGAATTGACGACATTTCCAAGAGGTATGTACAAAGAAAAGTGGTCTTTCAAGATTTGTGTAGAAGACGATGAAGTGAGTTTGCTATTGCCGCACCTACATTTTTCAAACTAATCGAAAACTTCTTGATTTACTTCGCGATTTCCCAGGCAGCTTGAACATGAACAAAAGCTGAACGCAATGGTGGCGCAAATCCAAGGGATGAACGTTAACACTACGAATATTAATATGAAGATCGAAAAAACGTGAGTTAATTTTACCTATAATGCCTAATATTTGGAAAACAAGTAAAAAAAGCCGTTAAGTTTCTATGGGTTCCGCCACTCCTACTGATCGCGGGTACCGATGTGAAATAACATATATGCAAATTTGTCCCAGTTTCTGATCGTCCCATTTTGCGTACTGACATTTTCCTGTAGGCTTTGACGGACTTAATTAGTTCAGTAGGCTGTACCAACTGGTAGATATGTAAGTAAAATAATTAATTTATTTATTATTGTAGGTGGACAACAATTCTACGACGTAGTGATGGCTCTGTAAATTTTTATCGCGACTGGGCAGATTACAAAAAAGGTTTCGGTAATTCCAATCAAACTGAATTTTTCATTGGCCTAGATAAACTACACGCATTGACCACATCTTCCCCCGTTGTCGAACTAAAAGTTATTTTAAGAGATTGGGATGGCGTTGAACGTTATGCCCTCTATGACAGCTTCCAAATTGGGAATGAAACAGAAAACTATGAAATCAAATTGCTGGGTAAATATAATGGAACTGCTGGGGATTGTTTGAGTTATCATAGGGGTAAACAATTTTCTACCTACGATAAGGATAACAACGATGGTACTAATTGTGCCGCAGTTTTTAAAGGTGGTTGGTGGTATCACAAGTGTTATGAAAGGTATGAGATGTCCCCCCTAATAATACATTTAACATTATATTTGTATAATCCTTTTATTACACTTATATTTTAGTCATCTAACTGGGCCATATAAACAACATGAGAATGCAAACTCAATCGGTGTTAGTTGGAATGAACCAGAATGGAAGGGCATGAGATACTCTTTCAAATTTGCCGAAATGAAGATACGGTCGAAAGCAACGAATTGAAATATAAAAAAACAACGATTACAGCTATCAAGGAACGTGTGAGCCACGCATATTTGTAGGTCCCTATACGCATTTATCTTATTTTTCTGAACTGTTTGGTTATTAAATAAACTTTTTTAAACAATCAATTCAAATATGTGTAAATATTATATAACTGAAGAAGTTATTAGCCTAATACTGCGTAATTAAAATGTGCAAATATTTTAATGAAATATCCACCATATATTGTTGTACAGTAACTGCGGAATTGCCCAATAGGGTAATTCGTCACTTTCAAGTCCAACAAAACTGCCCGACTTTACCCAAATTGTCACATCCATCAAAAGGAGAGCATTTTTTGAACAGACAGTACCATCAATCTCCACACATAATATACTACTCCACGTGCAACTATACTACAGCTATTGAGTTTGGAAAGTATGACTAAAAATCCGATGTCATTAAAAATGAGTGAGATCTTTATATAGGAGATATTAAATATTAGTGAACCTATGTTTTCCAATGATATTTTGAAAATCACGGGAGACTATAAATACTTAATTGCAGCCAGTTTAGATGGCAAATTTCCTAAAATTGCAAAAATTCTATTTCATTGCAAATAAATGTCAAAACCATACATTTATTTGCAATGAAGTATCTCACCTCATAAGTAGGATATTATACTCTCGCGAATTAAACTGTAATGTGTAATTGGCGGGATAGATACCAAATTACAATCACTTCGGTTGAAAAAACGTGCCCTACTGGAAAATACCAAAATTTTTGGGGATACCTTTATATGGTGGCTACCCGAAAAAATGGACCAAGATTTATAATTCTTAGAAGAGAGTTGAGAGTGAGTCAAGTATTTATTGGGTACCGAATCACTCAATAAATACTTAACTCACTTGGCGCCACCGTCCTTTTAAAAGAACGCCAAAAATGGAAATACCACTTCTAGAAAACAAACGTTATTTCAGTGAATTTCTATAAATTGATTTGTTTTATTGTTGTATCTTGTTTTATACTCTCCTAGCTTTTAAGTTTTAAAATTAAATTTATGATTTTAAAAAAAATCTCTTGCTTTATCTGAGCTAAAGTACCAAATTCCACCGAAATTCAGTTGAGAACAAGAGTAATCTGTATATATAACATATATAACGAATATATAGTCATATATTTTGAACACTATTCAAAATGTTCTTGTCTGTCAATGTATTCTTTTGAACAAATTACAGATTGCATTTTTGATCCGATTTGGATGAAATGTGGCACAGCTCTCTTATTTGGTCCAAGGACGAACCATATTGCTATTGGAGAAAATCGGTTCAGGTTTAGATTAGTCCCTATATATATTTTCGTCTGATTTTATCTAAATGGTGCACAAAAAATCCCAAATTTTTCGATTGAAACAAAATTTGTACAGCGTACTGAATTAGGTCCGAATAGATGTATAGAAGATTTGTGGGAATCGGTTCAGATTTAAGTATATATAGCTCCCATATATAGCTTCAAAGTCCATATATTTTTCCGATTGCGACGCAATTTTGCACAGCGTACTTAATTAAGTCCAGTTTGATGTCTGTGAAGTTTTGTTGAAGTCGGTTCAGATTTAGATACAGCTTCCATATGTAGTTTCGTCCGATTTTATCTAAATGGTGCACCAAACTCCTAAGGATTGTCCGATTGAGACAAAAAAAATACTGAATTAAGTCCAGTTAAGTGTCCGTGTGGTTTATTTTTTAAGTCGGTTCCATATATAGGTTCGTCCGATTTTATGTAAATGGTGCACAAAACTCCCAATATTTGTCCGATTGATGCAAAATCTTGCACTGTGTACGGAGTTAGGTCCAGATATACGTATGCGAAGTTTTCTTGAAATCGCATCAGATTTAGATATTAGATTTTATGTAAATGTTTCACCGAGCAGCCTACGTCTGTTCCAAATACACTAGATAAAATTGCGAACAACTCACTATGATGCAGCATATCAAATGGTATATGCCACGGTTGCTGAATTAGGTCCAGATTTATACACTATTCCACATACATTATTTTGCTCAATTTTATACAAATTGTACGCAAAGAAATCTGATTGACATAAAATTTTTCATAGATTTCAGAATGGTGCGTCTATGGGTTTTTTAATTGGTTGAAATATCTACGTAGATCACACATTTAGTTTAGTGTCTGTTCTATTCAAGATATTGTATAAATTAGCATCTCTTGTATGTATCCAAAGTGGTGAAGGGTATCATATAGTCGTCCCGTCTGACTTTTGAAATTTCCTTACTGGTTATAAACATGTATTCATTTAAATAGAATACACCTAGGTCTGTTTTTACACGGTCTTTTTGTACACGGTTTTGATATAACACGGTTTGAAAATTGAATATTTTTAATTTTTTAGACGATTTTATTCCATTTAGCACGATTTTAAATTTTATGTACTTAATTTTTTTCTTATTTTTTTTTGTCAAATTTAATTTTTGCGAAGTATGTTCATATCACAAAAAAGTATTTATGAAAAAAAGGAGTCTGAAACCATCGATAGTATCGATAGTTATATATATAAGTGAATTCCCCTTTAGCGCGTACAAACAATTTTTACTGATCAAAGCAAATGTGAATAGCACTAATTTAGGGGGATTCCCTTTATGTATAAGATCAATGTGTTTTTTACACGGCTTCTTCTGGAACCAATCTACCGTGTAAAAACAGACTTAGGTGTAGTATATATAATAAAATTGTTTCTTATATGTGTGAAAATTGCTCTTAAGTACGGGATTTTTATATAAGATGTTCCTATATCCGTAGTCTACTGCATTTACATTTTATTAAAGGTCCTCTTAAGTATCTATAAAACTGTTTGAAAACATGACGAGGGAAGGACATCAAACATTTTCTATGGAAGATCTGTATCTTCACTCTTTTCACCAATTGAAAGTTCCTGTCTCTTCCTTAGTATTGTTTTTGAAACTGAATTTCAGGACACAAAAATACATCGATAATTAAACAACTGATTTCTTGTTTTGTTTTCCGTTTATTTTTTATATATATTTTTTTTCTTTACTTTTTTTCTGGAATGAAAGAGCAAAAGAGAGTGTGGAACAAAAAACTAATACATAAAATACAATAATAAGATTACACACATATTTCATTTTCATGTTTATTCATTTTTTTATATGTTTATATATGTGTATGTGATTTTTATATACTTTTTTTATTGTATGAATAAATATATATGTATGTATATAGATATATTATTTTTGTTTATTTGTTTAAGTTTCTTTTGAGTTTTATTTTTTAAAGATTTTTAATCTCTATTTATGGCTTCACTTTTTTGTTGTTGCGTTTTGTATTGTTGTTGATGTTGTTGAAAGAGAGAAATAAGTGTCAATTTTGTGATTTTTTGTTTTAAATTATTTAGGAATTTGATGGTGGTATTTGAATCATCAATGTATATATAAATGTACGTATATATCTCTATTTTGTATTTGTTTTTTTTTTTCATATAGACTCTAAATTTTTTGTAGACATTTAATATTTTTGCTGGTTTTAGTTTTCGTATAAATATTTATTTTTTTTTTTTTTGTTTTGTTATATTGCTGATTTTGTTTAATATTCGTTTGTTTTAATATTTTTGTTACGTTTGTTGTAGGAAATAATGTGTGTTACTGTTTTGTTGTTTTGTAGGACACATGGTTCTATTTTGTTTTGTAATTTCGTTTTTTCTATAAAATTTTATATTTATTGTAATGGAACAAACATATAGATATATATTTTTGTTGTTGTTATTATTTTTTTTGATAGATATATATTTTTTGCTTTCTTATTAATAGATATATTTTGAAATAATAACTTTGCTTTGATATTTAAGATATTTATTAAAGTTAGATAAAAAATAATATTACAAATTTAGTACAGGCTGAGGAGGAAGGATTTTTACGTGGGATGTTTGAATTTTAGTTTATTTTGTAAAATGAAAACTCAAATGAGTGGCAATGCTACTCAAGCAATTTTTCCCGATAGCCTATAAATTTATTTTATGTAATATTATTTCTTAACTATTTATGGATAATTTATTTTTTATTTAACATTTTGAAGAATAAACTAATATTTTTTTATTAACTATATGAAAAGAGTTATTGCCAAACCCTGACTTCAGATGTAAACATCATCTCTGTCGACGAGATATGCAAAATGTTGGTTGGCAACTTGTCAAAGGGTATGGCCAACTCTCAAACCTTCGAGTCATGCGTATGTGTATGAATATATGTTGTTTTTTTCCATTATTATTAATAATACTATTTATGTTTAGAAAAAATAGTTTTGTATGTAATATTTTATTTTGACAGATACTAATTGTTGTGGTAAAAAAATAATATATATTGATTTTTTTATATGTAAATATATATATTTTATTTATTTATTTATTTTTTGGGAAGTTTTACTTACAAGGCGGACTAACTCACATTTCCAACATTTTACGATATTCACATTCTAATATCGTAAATGCCTGTTGGGGTCTTGTCTTCCCTCGAATTCTTATAAAAAATAATATCTCTTGTTTTGTTTTATAAGTCTTTAAGGTATGGTTTTGTTGTTTTTGCATGCTTCACATTATTTTGTTTCGTTTTTTCTTTATTTTTTATTGAGGAAAGACTTGAGCCATATTTACGATATTTCTTAAACACTTTCTATATATATTATATTGTTTTATATTAGCTAAAACTTCACACAACCATTTTGGCAATATCGTAAATTTCACATGAACTGGTCCAGCCTATTGCAAATACTTCCTACACACATACATATATAAAATTTAGTTTCTCTTTTATTTAGCAAATGCCTAAAACCATTAATTTATATATTTTTATTTATTATTAATATTTATAACTAAATAAAATGAATAGAGTTTAGAAATATTCTAAATAGATTGATAGCAAGATAGAAATTAAAATAATATAGTGAAATACATATTTAAAAAATAATATAAATATATTTTATATGAATATTTT